GCTTCCCAAATACAATTTTCATCCTCAAGTGAAAATGAAAAGTATTTTTTCTTATGATCATGTCTGGGTTTTTAATCTGGCATGTATTTTGTTAGTCTAGATTTGGGAAAAGACAAATTATAAAGGTTTCAGGAACTGCTCAATTACCTGAAATAATTCTGGTCAAACTGTTTTCCAAAGTAGGGAAATATAAGGCTACAATGAGTCTGTAAAAATTGTAATTCAATGGAAGTCCTTTCCTGACTTTACAATGGGGATACTTTCATCATCTATCCAGATCAAGAAGCCCTAGGGACAAAAAGGGTACTGGTCATTCTCATAGTCTTATTTTCTTAGTTCTATTTATAGGCATTAGGTATTTGCCAGTATCTCAACTAACAATAAAAACATCCTTAAATATTTTCTTCTGTATTACTTGACATGCTACTAGATAAGTGTTTGAGCTTTGGAGATAGTGCACCTTGGTTCTAGCCCTTATTTAGTTTCCTTACATAATAATACATACCTCATAATGCTAATACATGCAATCACAGGGAACTTCCTCAACTAGGAGCTCAATAAATTGTAATTACTACTACTATGATTATGCTCATACAAGTTATATAAAGATAGAGCAAGGATTTTTATAGTCACTTAGAAATGAAGGAATTAACTCTTACAGAATTTAAAGTCACATGTCAGTACCTCCTGTCCGTGCAAAGTAGTGTATTAGTGGTTGGCAAAAAACAAAGACAACAATTTCATCTCTAATTTTGAGGAACTTCTACCTAAATGGGCGGAGAGGATCATTATTAGAAGAATTATAATCAGGGATACGACATTATGGGTGAAGTTAGTCATGGAAGACATCTTGGTGGAACCAAGCCTTGAGATCAGTTTGACTGAAGAGTAGATCATGGGTTGTAATAACGGAATGGGGCAGTAGGAATCATATGGAGAAATCACAGAGGAGTAGAAAAACTAGACAGCTGAACAATATTTATTTTCACGTTTCATGGTAGAGCAAAAGTTATTACCATCTCAGTAATCATAACATTATTTCTCATCAAATTCTATTGTTTTGATCTAGTAATTGAAGGTCTGATGAAACAGAGTAGAAGAGATTTAAATTTAAAGAACCATGGCTAGTTCATTACTCATTTGGGTAGATCAAAGGGGTTACAGAAAAGCCTGTTCTCATTCCGTTCTTCTTTGTCCCCATATCCAATATGAAGCTTCAGCATCCACCTCCCATCTTGAGTTGCTACATAAGAAAGCAGTTTTGTATTTTGATGCTTGATTAAAAAATGCTTTCATTATAGTTACTAAAGTAGGATCAAGCTTGGGAATGTACATGGAGATAAAATTGTGGCAAAGTTGTCAGCTAGGTAAGAGGTATCATTTCATTTTTTTCTATAACATTAATTTTCCCTGTAGCCTGAATTTCATCATGCCCAGTCTGTCTTCATCAGTAAGTTGAGCTCTGAGAAGCCAAAGATACATGTCCAATATTTTTGAAATCTCAGCTGAAGTCTGGCTAAGAGATAAGACTGGAAAGGAGGTAGGTGCTTCAGAATATCTAGAAGCAGACCCAAGGGAAAGTTAACTCTTCTTTTTTATGTGTAGGACTAGTCTTTGCCTTTATAGTGCCATTCCAAAGGGACAGTCCATGCTAGGAAGGATAGTAACTGCTGTGTCTACCACTTCTACTGATAAAATAACTACAGAACTACTTGATTGTTAGGCTTCTAAAAGTGCCCATTGGAGAGTCATCCCCATAGAAATAAAAGGATCTTTATATTCTATCAGCTTGGAAATAAATCTGCTGCAATAAAATATTAGGCATAAGAAATGGAGCCTTTCTTTTACCCTCATATTTTATTTCACGTAAGTTTCTTCGATTTCCCTTGACATTTATTTTGTGCTGCTTCAACCTTATTCTGGAATACAGCCATAGACCAGACCAAAAATACAACTACTTTTTTTAAATAAATGAATTCCGATAGAATTCTGAAGTGCTAAAGATCTTTAATAATACGTTAGTTTTTTTTTTCTTCTGCTACCTCATGTCTGATGCTCTCAGGTTTATTTTCTTGATGCTTATTACTGTAAGTTTGACTATATAAAATGGAAGGAAAAGGACAGACGGCACTAAATTAGGCTAGTTATAAAAATTTCTGTAAATACTTAAGAAGTTTACCAGGTAACACTTCTACTTCCATGATTTTTAGGCGGACTCTCAAGAATGACCACTAATATTGTATTCAGATATTTCCTTTTATGACAATGTAGTGTTATGACCTCCACAGTAGCACCACATTCCTTTTTAATTACAATATTAGAATAGTGAACACATATAAAAATTTCCCTCAAACTATGCCCTAAATCCTGTACACCAAAAAACAGCACTTTTCGTCCAAGTAATTTAGAATGTGAAGAACAAATTCTACTGCTCTACGGGAGCCAGGAAACCCTATGCACATTCCAACTCCCGAGTTTGGTGGGCGATGGGGCCTTGAACCAGAGGGGATGAAAAATTCAATAGCTCTCGGTCAAAGATTTATCGAGAAAGTAAAATGCAACTGTTTTTCCCGTGCTTTTTATAATCTGTCAATGTCAATCCTTTCCTCGATGGTCTCTGCAGGTTCACCTGGCCCTTCGTGAGCCACAGTTTGCCTCTATTAGCTCCTGTGAGTGGAATCAGGACTAAATTTTTTCATTGGGCAGTCAGTCAGGCAACGTGACTATGACCCACTAGCATAGGCCTGCGGAAGTTCCTATTGGCATAAAACTGGGAAGAAATATGGGTAGAAAGAAATTAAGAATAAAAAGGAGGAGCGCAGGGACACCTGGGTGGCTCAGTGGGTTAAGCCTCTGCTTTCGGCTCAGGTCATGATCTCAGGGTCCTGGGATCGAGTCCCGCATCGGGCTCTCTGCTCGGTAGGGAGCCTGCTTCCTCCTCTCTCTCTGCCTGCCTCTCTGCCTGCTTGTGATTTCTGTCTGTCAAATAAATAAATAAAATCTTTAAAAAAAAAAAAAAAAGGAGGAGCGCAAGAGTAGGTGAAATCAGAGGAAAGGAGCTCAAACTGGAGGAAGAGGAATCAGGGGTCATTCTTTCAACTCAGCAAGACAAGGGCATGTAGCGGAAGCTCTGTCTGTCTTCACTCACACAGAATTTCTAAGACACACAAAATGACACAGAAAGGCAGTAGGTCAGCATTGTCTGCAAATGTTTAGGCAACTGAGGTCATTATTTGATTACTCTATTTGAATGATGAAATCATCAGCTTCCATTTATTCATAGTTCATCTGAATAAGAAAGTTCCAAAGTGGTTCCCCCCAACCACCAAAAAAAAAAAAACCTAAATAATAGTAACTCAGGTTTACAATAGAGATCCTGAAGCCATGGACATTTAAAAACGACCTCTGAATCATCACAACATTTTAAAATAATTAAGTCATTTGCTAATAAAATGCACTTATTCTAGTTCACCATCAACTTCAAAGCCAGCTCGGAATCTGAGGAAAGCATTAACCCAAGTATATTTCATCAAAGACTAATTCCACACACTCTAAAAAAAAAAAAAAAAAAAAAAAAAAAAACCAAAAAAAAAAACCAGCCATGTTTGTTTTTCCAGTCAGTTCTGCCTACATATCACTTTGGAAATTGCTGCTTGAGATAATCAAGTTGTGTGTGATATAAAACAGCCAGAAAATTCTAGTCAAGAGACTATTACACTGATAAAATTAATATCTCATTTCTTACCCCATGTTTTCTAGATAAATTAGTGTTTCTACAGGTGTAGCATTGATAAGGATGCTTCTTATCCACTTAAAGGTCCTGAAGGATTTAAAGAGTGTTTTATTGCATTTCATGATGTTTGATTTCTCTTTTTACTCAAAGAATTTTGCCTTGTATTAAAAACTGCAGAGGCTGTGCTGTATTAAAATAAGATAGTTTCACCGTACTGCTACGCAACAGAAGGAGCAATTTAAGACGAGTTAATTCTCAAGCTCTCAGTTTTCGGTTCAGACAGACCTCATGGAACTTGGAAAAACCATAGAGCACATTTGTTACACCCTACAGTGTCTTGATCAGGAAGGGAAGAGTGTATTGACCTTATGTAGAGGTGCAATGACCAATAATTAATTATGAAAATTATCAGGGGAAAAAAGCCATGAATAAAGTATGGCCATTACATATAGTTTAACTACAATTCCTATCAACTGGAATTGATAGGTTATATATAGGGGAAGAAGTCTGGTGGATTGTAGGAGAGAAAACCCTCCAAAGGAGGTCGGGGATAACCTGTTGGTGGTAAACAAAACAAAACAAAGCAAAACAAAAGCAGGACATAGAAGAAACAGAAGAAAAATGATGACTCAGAAAAAATAAGATAAGTTCTCTCTGGCAAAAACTGACATGTTGCTCTGGACCTGAGAGAAGGAAACAGAGTTCAGCAGCTTGCTGATTTTGGTCAAAAGTTTCTGAGGAGTTTCTGAGTGGGAAATCAAGAATACAACTGTGCCTACTCCTTACCCAAGCATTCAGCAAGAATCAGATTCCAAAAGAATCTTCCCCTGTAGCTTTCCTGAGCTAGCTGAAGGGCACTAGAATAATAAGGAAGCTGGAGACTTGGGTGTGAAGGTCCCCATGTAATGTGGCAGTCGATGAGCTCATGTTGCTTGATGTGACCTGGTGTTAGTTAATCTCAACCGAACCATGCCAATAGCACTCAGAAGATTTGATGGGTGAGGAAAGACACTGCTTGATTCAAACCAAGAGGGTAGTTCGTTAAGTCTTACGTAGGATCTTTCTGATCATAAGAACTGAGGTTGGAGTTTATATAGGTAGATTTTGGAAAATACATGGTCTTCCAATAAATTATTCCTCACGTGAATTTCTTTTTGGGAGGTGGGGACCAAAAGAGTATTATAAAATGTGTATTCTGAGTTCTAATTTTATCTTACGATAGGCACTCTAGGAGAAGTCACAGACCGGGGCAGTTTCTAGGACTTACATCTCTTCCAATCAGGTCCTCCTGGTTTTCCACAATTCCCCAGGGGGCAATGCCTATGGTACATATCTTCCCTCGAGACTTGGATGCATGGTCCTTTAAGGCGTCTCCAACATGGCGAATAACACCTGAGAGGAAAAAGAAGTAATTATTCTTTCTTTTAAAGCAATTACTCTCTATTGTTCTAAAGGAAATTGTGATAAATGTGTCCTGCAAGGCTAAATGCATTGAATATAAATTTTTAACACATTTCTACACAAATGTTCAGAACAGAACATAAATTTGTGGCTCTAATGTCAGATATATTTGTGGGACTTTTATATGAACTCTAGCAATGGGTTTCTCATTCGATTTTAAGTTCTTTTTTGCCTAAGGAAAAAACAATTTAAAAGCATCCGATGTCTTAAAAAACAAAACAAATACAATTCTTTAAACTTAGGGAATCTTTTTCTTGTACTGTAAGTATAATGGTATTAGCATGGCTGAGAACTGATACCATGAGTATATCCTCTAAAAAGCAGCATACAGAATATTATATGAAATCTATGCCACAGTTTGTGTCTACAGAGTCATTCAAATAGAATAGTTACTTCGATCATATTTTGTTAACCTTGATTTCATCTTCCTATTTATTGACACATCATGTGGAGACCCTACTTCGAAAGAAAACCTTGGCATATTCTTCGGAAAATTTATGTTGAAAATACAGCTTTTTAGCTTCATCATTCTAATTGTTTTCCTCTTCTCTCATAATGGCCTTCTCCATCACCACGGCCTTCCTCCCCATAGTTAAAAGTGAAAAATTTCAGTTTATAAGATGGCAGGGAATCTATCTCTTGTATTTTAATAAAGATAAGCTGCATTGAAAGAAGATGCAATTTCTAATCTATTAACCTCCTTCTCAAATCATTTTTATAGAAGATGTAAACTATATTCTCTAAGGAAAGTTGTGTCCACTTATCTCAATTCTACCCACTCCTCAAGGAAAAATTCACATGTAGTGCCATCTCCTACAGGAAAGCTGAGTTGGATTTGATTTTTCTCTCCCTTTGAGTAGGACTGCAGTTGGCATATCTTCTGAGAGTCACTGTCACACGTGAGGGTAAAACTCCCCGTGGGGCAGGCTGGGGCGGGTCAGCATCTTACTTCACCTTCACCTGTCGCAGGTGCTAGAACCGAGTAAGGGCCCCAACACTGCAGGGAACGGACAGAGCACACAGAACGCCCCAGGCAATTTCATAACCGGAGAGGAGACACATGTGAATCACGCCATTCTGAAATAGTCATAAGAGCAAACAGAAAGACCCTACTTTTTTTTTTTAAAGATTTTATTTATTTATTTGACAGACAGAGATCACAAGTAGGCAGAGAGGCAGGCAGAGAGAGGGGGAAGCAGCCTCCCTGTTGAGCAGAAAGCCTGATGCAGGGTTTGATCCCAGGACCCTGAGATCATGACCTGAACCGAAGGCAGAGGCTCAACCCACTGAGCTACCAAGGTGCCCCAAGACCCTACTTAAAAAAAAAAAAAAAAAATCAAATAAAAGAGTGTAAATAGCATTAATCCATATTGAGCCATGCTGGCACTGTTGATAAATAAAAATATCAATTTCACTCGGGAACTTATCTAGGGATCTTCTAAGACAGAGTAATGGTGAAAAAAAAAAAAAGCAAAGCAAAGGAAAAGCAAATGCAAGAATTAAGCTGGGAATATCAGTGTTCATTTCCCCCGCTATTTATACGCAAAGCTCCTTTCAGGGCCTATCAAGGACAAGTTTATCCTCATGGCCTGCCCTCCGTCGGCCACAATCCTACCATCGCCCCTTACCTAACCTGAGATGCCACCATTAGAACCCGACTTTGGGTGCTGGACTGAGCGCTAGCCTGGGGTGAGGCAGAGATGAACTATTTGCTTTACGGTATTCACGCTATAACTTCTTCTTTTGGTACTGGGTGCATTTCATAAAAGAAAAAAGTAATAAAGGACGTTCCGCGTTCCCAGAAACAGAAGACTGTGAAGAGATTCTTTTGAACCTTCAGAAACCTTGCAGTGGGTCTGCAGTGAGGGGCAGGGATGCCAGGAGGGCAAAAGGTTGAATGATCACGTGTGAATGAGGCCGCGACACGGAATGAAAGCAGGCGCCTAACGGCTGAACAGCCACTGAGAGATGATTGCTCCGTGGGTATTTGATGACTACCAAGTAAACAGTAAAGGGCTGACTGGGCAGGTCACTGTCAAATCAGGTCAGACAGATTCAGGAACGCACAGAGCAATGATGAGCATGGGCCAGGAGCAGCGTGCCCCGCTGAAATGTGCCGGTGGAGTCACAGGCCGGATATTCACAAATTCTAGGTATCGGGGAGAATTCCGAGCACGGGTCTTGCTGCAATATTTCCCACGTTGCACACAAATGAATAAACAGTACTGAGATAACCTCTTATTTAAAATTAGTTAGCCCAGGGTTATGCTGAATCTTCCCCAATTCCAAACGCGGGTGGGACGCCCAGACTTAGAGCCTTGAACCAACTTTAAATGAACTTGCTTCAGTCTTCCTTGTGCATTTCCGATCGGCCCTTCTGACTCAGGCTGGGAGAAATATGGCAAAGCAATTTACAGGCATCCATTCTATTATCTGCTGCACATTAATAACGTGCTACACGTAAGCACTTAACTGTAGTGGGCTCGTGAGAATTGATTTGACAGCCTACCTACACCACAAGGTAGAGAAACTAACCTGGCAGGAGAAAAAAAAATTATTTGAAAATCAGAGCGTAATGTGTCTTCTATTGGTTTAGAGCTGATTTAATAAACTATTTTAAATAATAAACAAACAGTACTCCAGACTTTGCTGTCACAATTTATGTCCCAGATGTAACGGGCATTTTACAACAATGAAAGCTATTTGCACCTAGCTGAAAATCGCTTCAAGATCAGACGCGAGCTTCCAATTTAGAGCAAAGGTTATTCTTTAAAAAAATTACCAGATACTTATCTGGCAACCTGAGGTATTGAAAGGACCCTGCGAAATTCCATTAGTCAGGTTTACAAATTCTGTGGAGTCGTGTATTAAATATCCCAACCTGTTTCCCAGGTGTAAGTGATCCCTCGTGGTTGAGAACCGCCTGTATGGTTGTCAGGCTGGTCGCAGAGGACAGAAGCAGAATCAGAGGATGAAGGACCCGCCAGGATGAGAGATGAGATGGGGGGACACACATAGACTGAGCCTTAGGAGAAAATGGCCTTAGTGACAGCACCCCCGTGGCCTTAGCTTGCCCTTCCCTGTCCCACTTCCAGTTACCTGTGTTAACCCCTCCCGTGAAGATCCACGCTCCGGTGGTCATGGCTGCTTTGATGAGCCCCTTCCCGAAGACTTGCTTGAGTTTTGGCTGCAGTTCGAAGTTCTGCAGGCCCCCGTGCACGGAGATGAGAAGCTTGGGAAGCTCCAGCTGCCATTCCTTGGTCATCAGGTGCAGAAGGAGATCAGGTTTTGTGTCGAAGGACACTCGCACGTACTGGAAGAAGAAGGGCCACCGGTTAGGGAGACAGGGCAGGGCTGCCTGGGTTGGCAGGGGTTCGGGGAGGGGGTGTGTGGGGGTGTGTGTGTTGCTGCTTAGCTTTACTGATTGCAACAACGTGTCCAGTACTTGAAGAAAACCTCTCATGTGAAATCTGACTTTTGAAAAAAGGCAAATCATTTTCTTCACCAAGAGAGTCTTTGATGAAGGGATTCATTGCTTTTAAAGGTTTTCTTAAAATTGTGATTTATTACGAACTTTAAAATGGTTCGATTTTCTAAAAGTTACATTTCTAAAACGTAACTTTCCCCAGTTACACCGACTGGGCCTAGACATCACTGGTTTCTGTGACCCTGATAGTCTGAGCGGTTTGGAAAAATTCTGCAGTTCTACCTAATCTAAGGAGAATTTTAAAACATGGTAACAGATGATTACATTTATTTAATCTATAATACTGCACACTAAATATTTCTTTTTTTAAAGATTTTATTTATTTATTTGACAGAGAGAAATCACAAGTAAGCACGGAAGCAGGCAGAGAGAGGAGGGAAGCAGGCTCCTTGACGAGCAGAGAGCCTGATGTGGGGCTCGATCCTAGGACCTTGGGATCATGACCTGAGCCGAAAGCAGAGGCTTTAACCCATGGAGCCACCCAGGCGCCCCTGCACACTAAATATTTCTTAAAGAAGACAAATGACAAAAGGCATGCCAATCATTTTTATAGAATAATACAAAAAATTAAAGCGTATATCAGATTTCAAGGTATTAGCAGATGCATCTAGAAATAAGTATACTAAGTATATGTAAATGAAATGCTATAAATACATACAAAGATAAGCATGTATATAAGCACATACATACTCATTTAGGTCTCATTTTAATTATATAAAGACTTTCACCTTTAGGTGGAAACAACTGAAATATTGGGCAAATATATCCGAAAGCCTTCTGAAATGCTTTGCTGAGCAGGCATGAAAAGAGCCAATATTCAGATTCCCAAACAAAGTAGAAGCTGGAACCTCAGGAAACAAGGAAGGACTAAAGCAGGCTTTGGACCTGAGAGTTTCTCCTAAACCCTGGCAGATGCGGGAACCTGCTTTACCAGCTTTATGCAGTATGGACAAGTTTAACGGGGAAACGCCATGTAAGCTGGGATACTTCAAAGGGCTCCATTCTCAAGTGTAAGGAAGAAACAGGTGAGCAGAAGTCTGATGTACAGAAGAGAGCAAGAAAACCTGCCTGCTTCTACCTTGGTTCTGAGTGGAAGGGGAAAAAAATTCCCCTCTGATTATTTATAAACCAGGGGGCCCTCACGAAGGCTTTGATCCACATTCACACTATTAGTGTGGCTTGAAAAATACCAGAGTATTTGATTTTAAATGGATCTGGCTGGGTAATGGCTCCGGATACTCAGCAGAAACACATGCAAAATCCCCTGTGGAGGAATGAGTCCTCAATCCAGAGCTTGCAGAGTATCCGCAGGAAAATAAACATTTCATAGTAAAAAAAATAAAATAAAATCACGTCTCGCATAAGGAAGTACAGCAATATGTTGGCAAGACCGAAAGAAATAACGGGTAGCAGAATAAGACCCTCAAAGATATTGAAATATTCAGAGATTACAAAATAGCTATATTTAATATGTTAAAAACACACATGAGATTATTGAATGTATCAATAAAGAACAACAGACTATAGGGAATGGCCAATCCTTTTGAAAAAGAATCAAAAGCAATGCTGAGAAATAAAAACGTAATAATTTAAAGAAAAATACGATAGAAAAATTAAGCTACAGATTAGACACACTAACGATAGATCCAGAGAAATTGACCAGATGCAGCCTACAGAGACAAAGGAATGAAAAACAGAAGCGAAATTGAAAACCTTGGAGGAGATGATCTGCGTTCTAGATGGAACTAAAAGAAATAATGGGCAAGAAGCAATACTCAAAAAGACGCTGGCTGGCAATTTCCTAGAAATGTTGAATGATACAGATTCTCAAATCCAGGAACACCCATGAATCCCAAGCAGGATAAATTAAAAAAAAAAAACAACACCACTCAGAGACACCTCATAGAGAACACCAAAGGGAGGGAAATTTTAAAAACCTTCAAAATCTCCTAGAAAATAAGACAAATCACCTACAAAGAAACCTGCTGTAAAAAAGAAGGTCTATTCCTCAACAGCAAAAATGGGTACTACAAGCCAGTGTCTTCAATGTGCCAAGAGGAATTATCTGTCAGTGTAAAATTCTACATTCAGCGAAAATATCTTCCAAAGATGAGAGCAAATTATAGACACTTTCAGACTACCCAAACAGAATTTATCTCTAGCAGACTTCCCTGAAGGAAATTTTAAAATATATACAGCAGGGAGAAATTGCACAATCCCGAGTGGATGATCTGGGATACAAGGAAGAATCATTAACGAAGAAATTAGCAAATACGTGGCAAATCTAAAAAAAGCACTGGGCGTAGAATATAAAATGATGATACAGTCTAATTTACGGTAGAAAGGGCTAGAACTACAGCACTGGACAACACCACATATAATTGGGTGGAAGTTATCAGCATGAAAGCATGCTAAAGTCTATATGCTGTGTGGGAGAGGAGAGAAGGGTACTGATAAACTTCGGAATTTGTTAAGTATTAATGTTGAAGTAGCACAACCACAGAAAGGACAGAATGACGTGTAATCGTGCAAACATACGCTTTTGGATGTACACACAAATGAGGTTATGCTGGAGGTGACAATTTATTGCAATATTTTTGGACCTAGGAGACCCTATGGTTGCAAAAACCTCAGAAATTATGTCAATTCTTTTGTTAAAATGCACTTTAAATATATTTAGCTGGAATGTGAAGCCAAGTAGCAGAAAAAATGAACACAGCCTGACAACATAAACTGCATCATCAAGAAATACCAAAGAGCTAACGTTTCCTACACACATAGACCAGAAATCTAAAGAGGTGTTGGAATCTAATAAGCTAATTCTCTATTAAATTAATCTACGCAGCAACAATCAATTCCAGAATGGAAAGGGTAAGTGTCGGCAATTTTAGCTAAGTACATTATACCAACAGAATAATAGTAGAAGTGGCATATTTTGCACACAAACTTTCCTGCAGAGGGCAAGATCTTTCTGATACACATCCACAGAGATTTTCAATAATGATGTGTGTTTTCACGCCGCGCAAAGAGTCTTGGGGCTGAAGAGTGGGCACAGCCGTCGTGGAAGCAAGGACAGTGTTTCTTCAATAAAGGTATGCTATCACCTCTATTGTTATATTTATGAACTCACTGAGTGACCCTAAGGAAAACCTTGGATAACAGATGCTATAAGATGAAAGAATAAAATCTTTTCTTTGCCTGTATACCGCATCTACGCCATTTGAGTAGTTAAAATTCGGCGGCCCTGCTGGATTGAATTTATGTCATGTTGACTAATTCTGAAAAGGGGTATTTAGTGAAATAAATTGGGGCTGGGACTCCCAAGGCTTCCAAACCATACAAACCCAAAATGCTTAGTGTAGGAGATGGTTAAAAAAAAAAAAAATTGCTTCCTAAGTTACTGTTCTCTTCTTTACCCTCTTTTGCCTTCAAAAAAGAAAAACAGAACCCCAGGAAAGTGACAAAAAAAAAAAAAAAAAAAAAAAAAACCTACTGAATTTGTTAAAATTCCTTTTGAAGCAGCCTAGTTTCTTTTTCCTAGTTAAGAGAACCTTGCTTGTGATCACAGAAGTCTTGTTACTCTGAGTGCTCTACTAGGGAATGAATGACCTTGGGTCACCTTGTCCCCAGCTCTGTCTTATAGATGGGGAAACAGAGGCACTTGCTCTCCAGTCTGTGTAAGGTCATACTGCTGGCAGGCCCTCTTCATATATTTTTTTCTGCTCTCAATTTCTTAATTCTACTAAGAACCACCCCTCCCAAACCCCAAACCAAGACCTTTTTGTATTTACTGTGCCCCAGCACATGTATTATCATGATTCCCCCCAGTAATGAGGAGGTTGGTATCAGCCACATTTCACTGCTGGGGGACAGAAACGATCCATCAGGTTCTCAAGTTCAACTGACAGTTAGTGGTAATGACAGGGTCCATAGCCCAGGTTTGCTGACTCTAGAGTCCTTGCTCTTGACTTCAAACTAAAAACGCCCCTCCCTTCTTCTCCTTTTCTTTCGCCTAGAAGCAGTCTCAAAGTTCTAATGATCCAGCAGCCTCCAACAGGCTTCTCAACCCCATGCCCTCACCAAGACATCAACAGAGTTCTTTCTCCAACTCCTTTTTGATCCCACTGTTTCTCAGTTCAAAGTGCTAACAATATATGTATACTCTCACACTGCCTGTCCTGGTCCTCCCCACTTCGGCCTGACCCCACCTAGAGGTGTTTCCCCACTTCTCTCTGCGTTTGGCTAATGTTGTTCCCTAAGTCCTAGAATACCCAGTTCACCCCTATCTTGTCTACAGAAATCATTCTCCTCTATCAAAGGCTTTACGTGACTTCCCCTGAGAATGCAAGCTCTTATCGATGCAGCATAGCTCTCCACCTAACCCAACTGGATTGTTTTACCCGGTTGTTTCTTGCACTTGTCCGTTTTATCTGCCCAGGTTGCAAGATATTTGAGAGCAGGGACCATGTTTGACCTGACCATGATTTTTGATAAAACTTCCATATTGGCCATGAAGTAGTCAATCTTAGAAATGGAAGGGAACTTAGAAGTATCTTAGCAATCATGGGAACTAGAAATCATTGGGTTCAATTCTTCTGCTTCACAGGGAAGGACAGTGAGAGCCAGAGAAAGTGAGTGACTGGGACCTCCGAGCTAGCCATCTAATAATCAACCACTCCTCTAGTTCATGATTAAAACCAATGCTGCTGCAGAAACTCTTGGTGGAGCTGTGCCTCTCAGAATTTAATGTGCACAACTCTCCAGGGGACCTTGTCAAAAATAGAGCTTCTGGTCCGGTAGGGCTGGGGTGGGGCCTGTGGTTTTGC